AATCATTAAATTACAAAATCTGTGAAAATCCAACAAACAACAAAGCAAGCCCTCAAGTCCCGACATGTGGGTAACTGAGGGACTACCTTCGGCAGGGACATAAGAGCAACAACTCCTCACCAACTTCAGAGATCACGACAGGACAACATCAAAGGGCAAGCACAAATTACTCCTTTTCCCTCAAGTACCTTTCGGCAAAAGGAGTGAGGGACTCCTGATGGAGTATATGGCCCGGGAACCCCCGGCCCACAGACTCCTACTACTCCAGCAAAGGCCCAACAGGCCCAACAGGCCCAAATCACAGCGCCCAGAGTACCAAGCAGTCCGCACAACGCACAGGGGTGCCTTCGGCCCCCTGGCCGAAGGCTCCAAATTGTCACAGAGCGGGTTTCTCAAGCAAACTAAGAAACTGGGAGAAAACGGCGAAAACAGCAGCCCTCGGCACTGTAAGCCCTCGGCACCAGGGGTGCCATCGGGAGGGAGAGCCCTCGGCTACTGCTCTATAGCCGAAGGCATCTCACTCGACAAGATATCCGCTTCACATGCGTACAGATCACCGTACTCTGCACAGACGTCCCATCCAACAGCCGCATTAAATGCGGCCACATGCGGCTGCCAGCGCCAACCAGTAGAGGTGACCCCTCAGCCAATGAGCGCCTTACACGTGTCCCTACCCGGCATTTATTGCTACTATAAATAGCACCCCATTTCCCCATTTGTAACCACGCAAAAATACATATTGAATATACACTCTCTCTCTTACTTGTTCGCTCTGACTTCTCTCTAAGTTATTCCCCGTAATAACCCTTCGGATATATACCCCCGGGTAGACTATCCATCATATACTCTTACTTTATGTCAAATCAAACAAAAAGTGGGTAAAAAGTAAGGGTATTTGTGACTTTTTGGTTAAAAGTGGTTTCCTTTTATAGAAATGAGAATTTCTTTTTGGGACATCCATAAAAGGAAAGTGAGAACTTCTTTGCGGGACGGAGGTAGTATTAGACCAGCTTGTACTTGTTCACCAAGCATAAGGTATTTTCACTATAAATAGTCACTTTCCAACCCGTGGAAAGTATTCTGCAATTCGATTTTAGTATGTGGTTACTCATCCATTTCTAATACACAAAGGTTTATCTCTCTTATTTCGGTTTAAAGCTTTCATACTCCCAGTCCCTAAGGACCATCTATCAGTGGGTGAGAAGATAAATAATGTTGCGGGAAGTACAATGATTGTTACCGGATGTGTTGTGTTATCGAGTAGTAACAATGACATAAAGTAGTCCTAAATGCAATAATATGATTATGATCTTTTTGTTTTCAAAATAGGAGTAAAATATATACATTCTTCCTATTATACACCCTTCTTGTAATTTCTATTAGATTTATTTTATTAATAAGAAAAACATAGTTTCACTTAGAATAAAAATATCAAAAAAATAAAAAAAAGGTAATTGGATAAAGTTAATCCTTTAAGTTTTATTTTAAAATTTTCTTTAAAATAAGAGTAAAATATGTCCATTCTTCCTATTTTATGACTCTAAACTTCATCCTTTAAGTTTTCTTTTGTTTACTCCTTTATAACTAAAATCTCTCTATATGTAATCGGATAAAGTTAATCCTATTTTGTTCTTAACGACCTTGACACTTTAATTAAGATATAATAAGGGAAAACATGTTAACACTACAAGAAAACACACATTTTATGACGAAAGTTTATGTGACAACAAAACTTGTCACATTTTGTTAACTTATATCTACAAAATGTAAATTCGTCACATTAAAATGACTTCTTATGACTATATCAAGTATTGTCACTTTAGCTCTAAATTTTTTTATCACCAATCGATACAATATATGACGATATTGTCAAATTCGTCACTCAAATTTTTAGCGGCAAATTTTGACACCAAGATTATGGAGGGAAACTATTTGGTGACACTTTACCAATAATTAATGACGATTATTTGTGTCATGTAATTTTTAATTACAATGACAAATCATATTTTGTCATTAATTCTATTATATTAAATAATGACAACATTATTTCGTCATTGTTGCTACTCATTGGTGACGAGAAATGCAAATTTGTGATAACTTTATTGTTTAATAAAATGTTTCAGAACAGACTTTTAAGCAAAATGTATTGAAGAATAGTTAATATATTTTTAAGCAAAATGTCTGAGAAGAATAAGAAGCATAGCTGTCATCCAGTGAGGCCTCCGCCGGCCAGATGACCCTCCATCGGCCAGAAAGATATCAACTCAGAACATGGTCCAGAAGTCAGAAGAACCAATTGTCCCCGTCGGCCGGGTCTCCGTCGGCCATGGCTCCGTCGGCCAGACCCTCGTCGGCCACAAAGAGCTCCCAGAACCGGATTTCATACTTAGTTATTTTTACACTCTTTGTACTCAGCCCAGTAGTGGCCCAATTGTAAATGGGTCTTACAAACCCAAGACTTGAGAACCCATGCCAGCTCGCATTTTCCCTATAAATACCCCTCTTGGGGGTAGTTGTAGGAGTTCACAAATCATTAATAGCAAGTATTTATTGCACTTCTCTCTCTAACTCTCACTTCTCTCTAGAATATATATACTCTATCAGTATTGATGAATAGTTAATATGTAAATGACTACTGATGTTGTGGACCAATTTTTTATTCACAAGTAAAGATTAATAATAATAATAATAATAACAATAATATAGCCAAGAAAATTGAAAACATAATAATAAATGCATATGCAGAATGTGTCATTACACATTGTAGCTTCACTAGTTTTCTGGGATTAAGCCCGCTTGATTCAGAATACTACATGTGCGTTATGAGGGGAAAATATACTCAATAACAACATAAGCATATTCAATTTGAAAAACTACAGTGAACTTATGTAGCACACTAATCATATTATATTATTGACTAACCGAACAATGGTCATTAGAGTGTTGAATGCCGGTCTGATGAAAAATGGGAGCCATATATGAGAATTAGGGTACGCATGGATGTTAGGCGACATCCGAAAAAAGGTAGCAATCTTAAAAAGGTGCGGTTTAACCAATGGGTGGATTTTAAGTGCGTAAAACTCCCTAATTTTTCTTTCTGTGTGGAATTATTGGGCATTCTGATAAATTTTGCCCAATTGTGTATGAGGGGGACAATATCACTTTTGCTAAGAACTATGGAGTGGAACTTCGTGCTGGGGGGGGGGGGGGTGAAGAATAGCCCCACAGGGGGAAATAAATGGCTGATTGAAGGGTCATCTAGTACTGGTATGGGAGCTTCAGATAGACAGGACACAGACAGGCAGGACTGAAAGGAAACTACTAAAGGCTTAGGGACTAGTGCTATCAAGGAAGGGATTTCGGTGAGCCTAGGGGAAGCGTCAGGAGAGCAAAAGCGCAGAAGAACATGGGAGGAGAACGAACTGGGGAACCCATCAGGAGAAGATATGACACTGGACAAGCAAAAAAATGGAAAGGAAGCGGACCTCAATCAATAGATCCGCCAGTTTGCGCAAAGATGCAGTTGTTCTCGAGTGGCGGCGAGGTGAAGGTGTTCGTGAGAATGGAGAGGAACTTATTGCTTTTTATTTATTTTTACGCTTTTTTATTTTCGGTTGACAATGTTGCTTTCATTTTCATCTTGAACTCTAGGGGTAGGTTGCTTCTTTGTTTTTTTTTTTGTTTTGCTCAAGACATTTCAATGGGTGGAAGCGATAAGGCTTGTTTGGACGTTAAAAGCTTCGAAGCTCTCACATGGTTAGCGAATAATCTCGCTCTCTCCAGCGTGGTCTATTCTATGTCTAGTCAGAGAGTAGGATGGCCTTTTGGCTATGCGGAGCCTCATGGGAAGGTTTGGCAATGTAAGGTTGGGAGAACTTTGAGAAGTTTGATTGATATAATATAATCAGTTTCCTTTCAAAAAAAAAGGGAAACCATGTTAAATAAGTTCTACTATTGTTTTGATTACTTTTGAATCTGTCATTTTAGTCACTATACTAAAAAATGTATAGTGACTAAAATACAATCAATCAATAAGGTAATAATGAAAAAATAAAAAATGAAAAATTTAATAACCTTTTAAATAGATATAGAATATTAATAGAATTAAAAATTAAAAAATATTGTCTTTAATATTTGAAAATTTTCACAATTTTCGTATATAATTCTTTAAATGTTAACAGTTTTTTAAAGTTTTTATATATTAAAACCCTACTATTACCGATCAAAATTTGATTAAATGGTTAAATTGATCAAATTTGTCCTTGCTTATGCTATTGCAAAAGTTTAAATAAAGAATTGAAGATAATTGAATGACTTATTTTCTCCATTAGCTTTTTTGAAAACTAAAAGGAAACTAATGCGCACGTAAAAATTTATACACGCTGGAAATTTTCCCTGCAACAAGTATATTTGGGGAAAGATTGAATAATTGAATGTATGGTCTTGTAAAAAAGGTGACAACTCTAGTACCCATTTAAAAAATGGATACCGGTACTTACCATTCACTTGATTGATTCAAATCATTACATCATTTTTAATTTAAATTTAAATAAGGTGACAACTCCGGTACCCATTTAAAAAATAGGGTACTGTATCTATCATTCATTTCAGTGGTCCACATCATTATATTATTTTTAATTTAAATTTAAATAATTCAACTGCAACATTCTAATTGATCCATGTGCAACAAAGGTATGATAGGCCGATGGGTCCATGTGGATACCAGAGAATCTACCATTAACTAATTCAACTACCATAGAAATTACCAGTAAAAAATTGTACGGTAGCAGCATTCGCTGCAACGTAAGGCGACACGTGTCGTAAACTCCCGCCCCGATCTATGGATTACTCATGCGCTCCAAAATTCTCCCTTCGCACCACGTTGCGTTTCAATGCCAAGTTCTATATCCACATGTCATTCTTCCTCCTTCCACCGCCATTCTTACCGGATTTATACCCCTTATAATACCTTCACCTTCATCATCATCTGCCACCCTATCATATATTCAATCTATTCAATTGCATTACACAAGAAGAAGAAAAGAAACTCTGTTTTATCTTTGTTCAACATAATGACTTCAGAGCAAAAGAGAAGACAGAACCAGACTGACGAAAGATCCATCCATGTCGAGAAAGACAGAGTTCCCAAAATGGCTAGCCATTTCGAGTCCCTCGCCGACAAATCCTCCGAAACTGCTCACGATATTCATCCCGCTGCTTTCAGCGTAACGGAAACGGTAGTTACAACGCAACCTGAAGACGCCGGAAAAGACGCCGGAAAAGAAAGGGAAGTTCGCCCCGGCCATGCACAGCACAAAGACAGAGCAGCTCACAACGCCGCTCAGCCGGTAAAAGTTGGAGGGCTGGAGTTCTCAAGCGGTGGGCAGAACATAACGGAGAAAGATCACCAGCAATTTTCTGCTTCTCATCATCAACCCTTTGAAGAGAAGCCGGTTGGGGTGAAGTTTTACGCCGGCGGTCGCGATCAAGGAGGAGAGACCAACAAAAACAGGGGAAGTCTGGAGGAGATAGGCAAGTCCAGACAAACGGCTCAACAGAACTCCATAGATGCTCTTCGAATAGCTCAGGAGAAGTACGAGAAGGCCAAAGAATCGGCAACCCATGTTGTTGGTTCCGCGGGAGAATTGGCCGGGAAGGCTAAAAACACCGCTCTTCAGAAGGGCCAGGAAGCCTTCGAGATGACCAAAGATTATACCGTTCCCAGAACAGAGCAGGCAAGAGAGACACTAACAAAAGCCGGAGACGTGGCGAAGGATTACACTCTGCAGGCGAAAGACCGTGGGGCGGAAATGGGCAAGAACGCCTCGAGCTTTACAGGGCAGAAAGCGGCGGCAGCGAAAGACACCACGGTGGAAACCGGGAAAGTGGCGGCGCAGTATGCTGGGAAAGTGGCGGAAACCGTGAAGGACAAGGCGACGGTGGTGGGTTGGGAGGCTGCGCGATTCACTGCTGAAAGGGCTGCAGATGCCACCAACCTTGCAGCCGGAGTGGCAGTGACCGTGGCCGGATATGCCGGACAAACGGCTGTAGCCGCCAAGGACGTGGTAGCAGGGGCCGGAAAGAGTGCGGCGGGGTACGCCGGGGATAAATTGGCAGCTGCGAAGGATTATGTAGTGTCTGCTGAAGAAAGTGCAGCCCAGTATGCAGCTAGGAAGAAAGAAGAAGCTCAGAGGGAAGCACAAGCAAAAGCAGCCCAGAGAAAAGCAGCTAAACCCGATCAAAAATCAACAGATTCAAAGGTATAGAAGTAACGAAACTTTGCGTTCCTTAATTTTTAAGGAAACTCTTTAGAAAATGAAGTTTTCCATTTCCTCCGTAGAGTTAGAGTTTTAAATAAAATTGGGAATCAGTTTTAAATAAGATGTGAATTAACCTTTATCATATCCTCTCAAAGCTATATGACCTGAATCAAGCATTCACTTTTCGTTGTTTGTTTACTGTTTTTGTTATGTTCCTTCTATCTAAGGGAGGAAGCGGAGGGGGAAGCAAATTCAGCGGCAGCGAAACTAAGCAAGAAAGAGGGAGTGCGGGAGAAACAGGCACCAGGAGAAGGGAACCGGTGGGGAGGGAAAAGGAGGAGCATGACGGAGGAAAAGGAAGCGGAGGCGGCGGAGGGGTTCTCCAAGCGATCGGCGAAACTATAGTCGAAATCGGGCAGACTACGAAAGAGCTGGTTATTGGGAGTCCTGACCAGCCGCGGTCTTTAGGTCCTGAGGAATAAATCCAAGCAATATGCACTTTTGTGCTCAGTGTGTGTGTGTGTGTGTTAATTTAGTAACAATAAGGGATGAACATGGATGGGAGTTTTATTGTGTATGAAAAATGTGTTAAATGATTTGTGCTCTTTTCCCCACTGATAGAAGGGTGACAATTCAAAAATAACCTTGCTAAACTATCCCTGCATTGCTTCATTATAAGGTGTATACTTTTACAATATCATTGGATAGAGAAATCCATCTCAATAGTTACGATAGTACTTTGTTTATGTTAACAGTTGTTCCAAACTTTTAATGAAAATAAACTTAATCATGCAGTAAAACGTTGCTAAAACAATTTCCTCCATTATTAATTAATATACTCGGTGAGATGGACTTTTTGATATTATTACGGAGTATTGGATATATCATTTATGACTGGTATTTAAGGACTTATAACCTCTTACTTTAACCACATTTAATTAAAAACTAAAAAAACAGAGAATCCGGAGCATGTTTAGGAATACCAATATTATGCACTTACAGCTAAAATTAAGGCTAGAGATGAATGACAACTACTCCGTAATAGATAATCTCATCGGGAGAGATTATTCCTGGAGTATATTAGATGGATTGTATTATTGGATTGTATTATTAAGAAACATTAAGAATATAGAGAGGAGCATTAATAATATTGGTAGAAACAATAAGAATACAGAGATCTTTTTCGATGTAGCAAATAAAAGTAAGATTGGAAAGAGGAATTGAACCTGCATAAAAGAATGTTGATAGATTTCTGTCACAAATGAAAGCTAAAAGCCTGCCATAATTGGCTAGTTGGTTATATGATAGTATCAATACTCCCTCCCTGGAAATTCACCTTGTCCCCAAAGGTGTCTATAACAATCTGAAATGGACCATAAAATTTGGGGCTCAATTTCTGATTTATCCTCTTGGCCAGACTTAAGTTTTTTTAAATATACCAGATCACCCACTTCCAACTCCATTGACCTCCTGTGCTTATTTGCTTGCTTATTGAGCAAGGTTCCCTTTCAATTCTTCCAACATGGCATTTCTTTGGGCAGTTAATTTGGAGACATTCTCCACCGCAGTTAAAGTCACATCCCCCTGATGGCTGCAGGTGGATCCTGCCCAAATAAATTCTTGTAAGGGGTCAGTTTCAATGAAGAGTGATAGTTTATCTTATACCAAAATTCTGCCCAGTGTAGCCATTGATTCCACTCCTTATGTTTCCTCCCTGTAATGCATCTCATGTATGTTTCTAAGCATCGGTTTACAACCTCAGTCTGCCCATCGGTCTGTGGGTGGTAGGTTGTGCTGAATTTGAGCTGGGTTCCTACCTATTTGAAAAGTTCTGACTAGAAAGAACTCATGAACACACTATCCCTATCACTAACAATAGTTTTAGGGAATCCATGTAATTTCACCACCTCTTTAGTGAATAATTCTGCCACTTCTTTAGCATTGTAGGGATGAGAGAGAGCTAGAAAATGTGCATATTTGGTTAACATGTCCACCATGACGTGCACTCGTCGTTAGGTGCACTCAAAATAATTAATCAATACAACACTAATACGTAGTATAGTGTAGTAAGTTTCGTATCCACAGGGAAAGGAATACTTTTCTTTTATATAAATAATAACAAGGGGGGTTTAGATTTGCTTGGTTTAATAACACTAAGATAAACGACCTATATGAGTTTAATTCAATGAGATGGGGACTTGGTTTTGCTTTTATCCACTTAATGAAATGTTCGTCGATCCCGGTTATATCTTTAACTATCTTCCTCTCGAATACTCAATCGAGGAGTATATCCAGTTCATCGAGGGTAGTTATTAATAACGAGATGCGTTCATTAATAAAACTTACTATCGAGTCAATACAGAACAAGCGCCGTATATTAACTTGATAGTAGCAATAAACTTAAGATGAAAACGATTGAGATTGATAACCTCAACACAAGCGGTTTATTGGTTTAATCAATATAATTAATTCCCCTTGGCATATTAACCATGAGATGCATGCATTAATATTCCAAGTTTACTACCGTTGAAAGAACCGGATTAATAACAAGCGTATTAACCGATTGATTCTAGTAATAATTAATATGAGAAACAATACTAGTTGATACTTTAAGTAATGTTTAAGATATTAACATGAAATATGAATAGGAATTAATCAATACTCAAGGAAGAATATTAAAATATATGAATCCTACTATGATTAATATCAAGATGTTAACTAATTGTCATCTTAGCAACACTCCCCAATATAATCATAGAGGAAGAAATAGCTATTACTATAACCAATGTCAAGATGTTAACTAATTTTCATCTTAGTAACACTCCCCAACTTTGATATAGAGATAGTATTTTGAAAGAAAGAATTAATATTCAAGGAAGAAGATTAAAGAAAATAACTCACAACTTACAAATTCATTAAGCTTCAAAGTAGCAAAACCAAGATGGAAGAGTTTAGCTCCTCATTTGGAGACTAAATAGATGAAAAATATAAAGAAAGAGCTATTCTATACTGAGCTTAGATGTACAAGGGATTGGATATCTTTTTGTGAAGGAAGGAAGGTGTATTTATAGGTTTTTGGGATGGGATTCGGGTACTCGATCGGGTATATACATGGTACCCGATCGAGTATGTGTGTAACACCCGATCCGAGGCATACTCGACCGGTTTCAGGCTATTTTCTAAGTGTATACCCGATCGAGTATATATGAATACCCGGTCGAGTATGCTTAGAAAGTGGTATTCGGGCTATACTCGACCGGTTTCAGGCTAGTTTCTAAGTGTATACCCGATCGAGTATATATGAATACCCGGTCGAGTATGCTTAGAAAGTGGTATTCGGGCTATACTCTACCGATCTTCGTTTGCAATTTAAAGGCATACCCGATCGGGTATGTCGGTCTACCCGATCGGGTATAGACATAGAATCGTGGCCAAAATCTTCCCTGCATGTTCCTTTGTCTTCGGATCTGATCCGATTTGAAGTTCCAACCTAATACCCGATCGAGTATAGCTAATACTCGACCGAGTATAGATCAAAATTCAGGATCTTCTTTTGTCTTTGAACTTTTGCACCTTCTCTTCACTTTTTGGGTTCACCAACTGTACTTTGGGTGACCAAAACCTGCTTAAGCTCAGAATATGTCTAATCTAACCTATTTACAAGAATTTAACAATCTAATCTATTACACCAAAAGTGTGTAATTTCCAAAGTAAAAGTCAAGCAAAACTAATTAAAAACATAAACATAGAAATGGAAATTACGAACGTATCAACTCCCCCACACTTAAACCTTTACTCGTCTCGAGTAAGATCAAATGTTTACAAGTGTCAATGTTTGTCCAAAAGTTCCACAGTTCAACAAAAATATAATACAAACACAAAGACCACCAAGGATTACAAAAAATGAGTTTTAAACTCAAATCACAAAAGAGCATCTTGGGTTTAATGGCCTCCTAGTGTTGTCTTCTTTTCTCCTCCTCTCTTCTTCTTTATCTTGAATCTTCATATTCTTCAAAAGGATACAATGAGTGCCTGCAAGAACAAACATTTCTCTCATATCTCTCATTTTGCCTAGGAGCCTTTTCAGGTTTTCATCCTAGCACCTCTTTTCATTTTCCATTCTCTCCAACTCACTCATTTTTTTATATAAGCCTTTTTTTTTTCTTAGATTGCCCATTTTGTTGGGTTTTCAACCTAACTAGCATTTATTTTCTTTTGTTTATTTTTTTTTTTTTTGAGTGTAAAAGTTCAAAAGAATTACATGCATAGTGCTAGGTACAAATGAGAATTACATACCATCATGAGTGTCTCCCCGCACTTGAATCACGCACTGTCCCTAGTGCCCGCCTTCTCCTCCGTAGTAGCTCCCTCCAAAACCGCTCCCTTGGCCACCATCTCCCATGTAAGTGTCCCCGCCATCTCCGCCGTCGTACCCTCCACCACCGGAGCCAGATCCTCCAAAGTTACCCCAATGAGTGGGGTCATACCATGAGGGTGGTGGAGGAGGGTTCGCCATGGTGTGGAAGGATCCCTGCTGTGCCATAAACGAGTACATAGGCCCGTAGAACCTATGTTGGTCTTCCTCATACTGGTGTCTATCGGCCTCCCGGAGCTCCTCCAAACGTTGAAAGCCGGCCCTTTGCTCATCCTCTAATCTTTGAAAACCGGCTCTTTGCTCTTCCTCTAATCGGTTGAGCCGGTTGTCCATTTGGGCTATTCCCGTAAGAAGTTGTTGTTGACCCTCCAGAAGTTGTTGAAAGAAGTCGGGTGGTGGAGGGTTTTGGCTTTGTTCTGGGAAATCATGGCTCATGTTTGGATGGCTATGGAGTTGCTCGTAGGGCTCGTCATCGGGTTGGTTTTGGGGGGGTTCCTGTTCCGGTTCTTGAAGATGTGGTGGGAGGGCGTTTGGGAAGAGGTAATGTTGATCCGGCCTGCCTGTTTTGAAGTGGAGTTGGGGGAGTTCTGGGTTGGGCAAGAGGAAGTATTTGGGGGTTTGGGGTGGATGTGCCAGTTGTACATATTTTTGGGCCTTTCTTCACCATAAACGGTGTGTGAAAAAGAAGTACAGCCCGAGTGGCCTAGCCAAGATATGTTCATTAAACAGTAGCCGGGTATAGGAGAGTCATCCGTATACCCGAACTTTGTGGCCAAGTGCATAATCACCCCGCCCATTACGATAGCACCCTTTGCCACACTTTCCTTCTTTAGATGAGCCCACATGAGATTACAGAGGTTGAAATCCACGTGGATACAGAATAAGGCAACCGAGATGAGGCATACATCCCCCATCCTTGTATGATGGTTGTTGGGACGTCCAAGCAAGGAGTTGGCAAGGAATTTCAAAAAGAGGCGTAGGACTGGATGTTGGACATGACTAATGTATAGTTGGGAGGAGCTAAATTTGGTCTCCCCGGTCATCTTGGTCCAAAGGGTGTGGCCGAAGGCGGTATTGTCGGATATAGACTTTTGGTACGGGACCGGAATACCAAAGTGTTCGGCAAACTCAAGTTTCGTGATGGTGTGATTGTGATTAAACAATCGAAACCTGAGTTTATCATCTCTAAAGTCCTCCTCATTGTTCTCAAAGTGCACCGAGCTTAGGAATTCATAGATAATTTTTTCATTTGAGTTGTATTTCATTTTGAAAATTTTATCCATATGCAACTCATGAAAAAATTT